CAACTCACGGCAGTACCTTTCAGTGGGCTCTTCCTGCCTCCCTTACTCTCCTTCCTTTGCACTTGGTTCTAACCACAAGGGCTCAGAAGTCATAGCTGGTAAGATGAGGGGGAATAAACTAGAATGCAGAGGGGGAAAAAAAGAAGCCAAAATTTTTGCCTGGTCATAAACTTTAGGCCTCCATTCTCAAAGAGACCCAGGCTCCAGTTCCTCATTTTGAAGGGAAAGAGGTTAAACATTAAATCAAGGTCAGAAGGGCTTTTTAAAATTGTTTTAACCCAGAGTTGATATATTATGAATTTATTTTATACTGTGTTTGGACTGAATGGGACTATAAAACTTTTGTTACCTACCTAAAAGTGACTAGAAATTCCAAACACCAAAGTGAATAGAATGGAACATCACATATCCACAAAAGATTTGAGACCCTTTTGGTCAGTATCAAACAAGATTCAATGTGAAAATATTCCAGTTTGCATAAGAGTGACTAGGCTCTATTTTACTTTTTGGCCAAGGGTTCTTGACCCAAGGCCCATGGTGCCCTAAAAAGACCAAGCGACATTACATGTATGTATGCACACGTACATTTTTTTCTGGGGAAAGAATCCACAGCTTTTTATCAGGATCACAAGAAGATTAAAATTATTCAAGAACTTCTGGAAGCCCAGGACAATCTTAGACTTTGGCTTTAGGTCTGGTTTATGTCTCCTTCAGATGCACCATTGGTCAGTACCCACCCAATCCTATCTTAAAGTGAACCTAAGATAGTACACAGATTGAACCATGCTCCAGAAAGTTCTTTGGATGTGATTCCAGCACATCTACTGTTTAGATCAGGAGAAGATAAAAATTAGCTTTGAAATTTAGGATATAGTTTTCTAGGTTTTAGAAGCAACATCTTCTAAGAACTTGGAGGCTCATTGAGGTCACCTCTATTCTGATTATATTTTGACTTTTTTCAAGTGAATTGTGATATGCATATTTTCTGAACCTGTGTTCTGGCATAAAATGCATATAACTCAACTGGCTTGGTTTCCTGATGCTCAGTATCTGATTCCTGACCTTCCAAGGCCTTAGCCTTTCTGTCATGTCCACAATTAGATTAGGGGATGCCTGGCCTGCCTGTTCTAGTTGCATCCTGGAAGGAAAAGCTGGTCCAGAGCATCAGGTTTTGTTAAGCCAATATCCCTACCATCCCCACTCACCCAAACATGGGCACTTTCTCCCCATTTGATGCCATTGGAGCACTGGCCAGCTAACAGCCACAGGAAGTGAGTCATTAGCATCCCAAGCAGAATTTAAAGAATGCTTTCATATAACATCATAAGATATCGTTAATTTGATACACAGTGAAGTAACTGGGCAAACATGAACTCTCTTTTAAGGATCAAGCACAAATAAGAAAACTTAAATTGATCTACAAAAGAGATGGATTAGCTGCTAGAAATAAGAGTTTACAGTCAGTTCTCAACTATCCATACTCATAAAAAGTGGCAGAGACAATCGAACATGGCAGGTAATTTTTAAATAATTACTATTTGGCTTTAGAACCCTTTATTTATGTATTTGCATCAAAGTTACTTTCCTAATAATGTTTTGCTTATATTAACATTTAAATGAGGACGGGGCTCCATTGCAAGCAGCAACTGATCGCACAGGAAGATAAACCCATACCCATACCAAGTAAGAGTAGTAGAAATCAAATGAAAGATTAAAATTTTACTCTGCATTAAATTTTCCAAACTCAAATAATTGAGAATGAGCTCTAATCCTCTTGAACATGACCTCTTCAGAAACCTCTCCCTGACCTTCCAGTTAAATACCCCTGTATGTGCCCCTCAATTCATACTCTGTAGCTTCAGAATGCCTACCACACCAATTGTAATTACTTGTTAAATCTCTGTTTTCCACACTAGAAACTGAAATCCAAGGAGGCAGAACAGAATCCGTCTTGGTCTACATAGTATCCCCGCACCTGTAAAGTTTGTTGGTACCTAGTAGGTGCCCAATAAATTGTTCATTGAATGCATAAAATCTGCATCATTCTTTTAATAAGAAATGAGAAAAATTTATTTAACATTACATGGAATATGTAATCAGGTCCCTAAGAGAAAGCCTCCTCTGGAGATGGATGCTTCCATGAGCTGAGGGACCCCAACTGGTCTTGTTCACTGCTGTGTACCAGCTTGAGGTGCAGTGCTTAATATCTTGCATGTGTGCCGTAAGTACAGTATAATCAAGCCAGTGGCTCTGCCACCTCCATTCACCCAAATCATAGATGTTTTACCTCCACTTGAGAGGTTATCTCAATTGTGTCCCTAGCCATGGCGTCATTGGCCAGCTAACAGTCACAGAAGCTGTTTGGAACAATGAATGAGAATAACCAAGAAAAAGCTGCAAGGCTCTGACTGCACATCCATCCCACCAAGTTGCAGAGAGACAAAAGGGAAACGTGACAGAATTTTAAAGAGGGCTGGTAAGTCTGAGAGATAGTATAGATTTGCCCATCTGGGAACAAACAGAACTTAGTGTTACTAATGCTTTTTTCTGTAGAAAAGACATTAGGGTCTATCTGTTTCTCTCTCTCTCTCTTTCTCTCTCTCCTTCCCTCCTTGCCTCCCTCTCTCCTTCTCCTCCTCCCCTCTCCTTTTCCCTCTCCCCTTGCCTATCTCTGTCTCTGTCAAAGTTAGCCTAATTTCTATTTATCTGCACTTGAACTATCTTCCTTGGGCATATCAGGACTTCTGAATCTGTGCAGCCAACCTATCAAAGTATTCTTTTTTACAAAATGTTTTGTTACTATCCCATCTTAGTGCTTCCTTCATGTGAAGTTTTCATAATGGTAACCTTGACATCAGAATAAAAGGAATCAGTGGCGTGCGAGCTTCTGCCCTGGAATCCAGGGGGGGACCTGAGAACAAGTCAATAGAGGCCTTACTAGGGAAATGAATGGCCAGGAAACTTCCATTCACCAAAACAATCTTGGAGACCCCCTAGTATAGTGTTGTTACTTTACAAACAAAGGAAATTGAGGCCCAGATGTGCAAAACTACTGTAACTTTGCAGAACTCATGTGAGAGAGGCCAGTAGTCATCTGGCTGACAAAGGAGACACTTTCTATTTGTGGCTACACTCTGACTCAACAGATAGCTCCTTCCCCTTATCAGTTAGAAAGACAAAAGTCGACTCAACATTGAAAGGGTACAAAAAGGTAAAAACCTAAACCTAGCTTCCTCTTCTAGCAACCATCCTAGGTATCCCAACTTTCGTAACCAAACTGCTAGAAGTAGAATTTGGCACCTATTGATTTTATTTTCTTCCCTCAATCTATGGCCTTATCCAAGAATAGCTATTCTGAACCTCCCACTCCTCTCCCAGCTCTTGTCCAGCTGCTAAGAGATTTGCTTCAGATTCCAGAATCCACCCCCCTCCTTCCAGATATAGGGATTCACTTTTCCCCTTGGAAAATCTGCCAAAAGCCTAAGTATCAGTCCTAACAACCTTTCAATTAAGTAAGATAATACTTATTAATTTTAACCTAAACGACTCTTGTTCAACAGAAGTACAATTTCACATCTGTGCAGATAGGACCCAGCTGACAGTGGACTCAATAGATTGAGGGAGTCTTGATAAAATCACCTTCCTCTTCCTGATGTTTGAACAGCCCCCTTCTCCTGCCATATATAGCCAAGAAAATAAGTCAGAGCCTGGTGCCCTAGTGATGAGTTGGCACGTGGCTCCTGGGTTTGTCTCCCGAATAAGCAACTTCTTTATTCAAAAAAGTTTCTTTATTCTGCCTGCAGAATAGGCAGGGTGTGAGTCAAATAAATCCTGGCCAGTTATTCACAGCATTCAGACTATGTGACATCCTTGCTCTATCCATTGCCGTAAAGTCAGAAAGGAGAGGACAGGTCAGCTGTTGACTAGGAAAGTCCAAGCTTTGCTGTTGATATTTTCACAACGACCATCATCCTAGGTGGGCAAGGGAGACAAAGAAATGCCTCAGCCTGGACTCCATTGAAAACAGAGCCCGGACAGCAGTGCCTCATTTGAAAGGTGAAGTCCTGAGGCAGTGAGAGTTAATGAAAAGAGAAGTGTGACAAGGAAGGTTAGAGAGCCACTGCATGTCACCGTACTGGCCACTGCTTTACCATAAGCCTCAAAGACACACAGCTGGTTGCTCAGCAGGTGCAGCTACTCAGCCACCTGGGATGTCTCCAGACAGACTGTGCATTGAAGCTGTGCAAAGCAGTCCCTTCAAGGAGGAAGGAGGGGGAATCTATCTGCATGGCTACTTCCCTTCGCTAGTCTCCTAAACTCATTACAAAGGGAGTTTTTTCCCCCAAATCCCAAGTCATGTCACCTCACTCCCTCAGTAGCTGCTGAAGAAGCCCATCCCAGGACTGCAGAGTCCTGCTGTTTCCAAGCCTGGAAGTGGCTGGAGAGGACAGAGACCCCACGAGTTCAGCTGACCTGCCTCAGGCAGCAAAACTGCACAGGCCCATGAAGGACCAACCAACCTGTGTCAGTGGCAGTTGGGGGCCTGGCAAGCAGGTAAGATTGGAGATGCTGATGCGGTGTTTCAGTTTATAGCAGACAACAGAAGCTAGGATCGCAATCATATTCAAAGCATAGAAATAGATCTTCCTTTGTGCTGAGAGCCTGGACTATGTTCCTAATGACAAAGGATAGCAGACATGCCAGCCGAGGCATTACAAAATCTTAAGTCAAAATTATTTGTTCTGCTGGATGTGATGGTGTTTATGTGCATGCTATACCCTAGAAACAGACCTTGTGATCTATCACAAAGACCACCAATGAGCTCCTAAGCACCAAATCCAATGGGTACCTTAAACTGTTTACTTAACTTGACCTCTTTATAATATTTCACACAGCTGCACATTTTTTCAACAGGAAACATCTTCCTTCCTCGGATTCCAAATACAGATCTCTTCTGATTCTCCCCTACCTTTTTTTATCTCCTTTGGTGAGTACCTTTTCTCTGCTGACTCTGTGAGAACTGGTCTTCCTTGGGTCTCCTTTCTCAGCCTGATGCACTTTTTAGTCTACATGTTCTTCCTAGGGAACCTCATTGTTCCTCTGTGCTGAGGATTCCCACGGCTCCAGACTTGTGAGGAAGACATGATCCTGGCCCTCCATGAGGAAAAAGACAAAAGATATCAAGTATTATGAGAGTGTGTATGAAATGCTGTGCTAAGAAGTTTTAGAATAGCATGTGCATATGGAACATACTCAACCAGAAGAATTTGCTTAAACCAATTCTGAAAGGATAAGAAGGAGTTATGCTGAAAGATGAAAAGAGGAAGAAAATTCTGGGGAAAAAATCCAACGGAACACAGGCCTAAGCCAGCATGGGATCTGAGAACAAGCGATGATTCTGAAAGGAAACCTGAAAAGGCTACAGATATACAACTAGAAAGGCAAGCAGGGGAGGGTCATAAAAGGCCTGACATGACAAGCCACGGCGTCTGGACTTCATCCTGAGAGCAGGATCGAGGCAGGGTCAGTTTTTCATTTCATAAATATTCCTTTGTGAAGACTGTGGCTTGGAGGAGATAGCAAGGAGACCCACTGGGAGGTTGGGGCCCCACCCAAGCAAGGCACTCTAAACCATTAAGAATTTGGCAGTAATGACCTTTGTTTCTCCCATCTAAAGTAACTTGCACAAGGTAAATCCTGAGCTAATTCCAACATTTTTGTCTGTATACTAATGGAATAATGAACTTCTGTCTTGACTCTCAAACGTGTACTTGGTTTCTGGGTATCCCAGGCAACTATTCGTTCAGGGTTCTCCAGCAACTCTGGGAAACAAAAAGTATTTTGTAAGTGCCCAGATCATCTATTTTTCTATCATTTTTTATTCATTCAAAAGTGTTTATCAAATAGTTATAGGAGGAAAATTCCTCTTTCGGTTACTATGAGTTATAGAAAGATGACTAAGACACAAGTCCCCAGGAAGTAATATTTCAGAAATACAGTCAGAAAGAGCATAAATTGTGAAGTGGGGCAAATACAAGAGCAAAGAGAGACCAAGAGAGAGGTTCTGGCAGTGTGACATACATAGCTGCAGAAGAAGAAGGGGTTAACTAGGTTTGGGAGGTTTGATTTAGGCTCAAAATGACTAGGATCTCAACTAGGCAGAAATGAGGGGGCAGATATCCCTGATAAGGTCCCAAGGGCCTGACAGCACTGCTGAATGACCAGGTTTGGTCAAAGTAGCAGGTATATCAAGGAACACAATAAAAAAAAATGGTGGACAGTTCAGGAAGACCTTAAGATCCTGCTTAAGACAATAGCAATTGAGCTGTTTGAGCAGACATCTTTTGAAGCATCTGGGTGTCTCCATGAGGGACCAGAGCCATTTGCAGTGTACTGACTCAGCAAAATTATTCCTACAACTGCTTGAATGCAAGCAAATTGAATCCATTTTCACATGGACAGCACTGCCTTGTTATTAACCTAAAGAAGAAGAGAGTTTCTTCGCAAGTACTACTGTCAGAGCAGTTACCTTGGTACATCCTCACATTTCCCCAGTCCCCTCATGGTGCCTAGATACAAGACAGCTCCAGGTGCCTACCACGTGGTCCAGGTGTGTTATTGCTTCTCACTTAGAAGAAACTCCATTACTTTAAACTTTAGAGTCCAGGGCCACCGTTTTATGAAGTCTATGTAAAGTCCAAATCACCTAATAACACATTGAGATGTAATCTACTTAAATTCATGGGGCTGAAAATGCACAGATTAAGAGACAAGTTAAGAGGTTAAACCAACATCCTAAACTGAATTCACTGAAGAGACCTAGAAATAAATTTAAGGGGCTCACGCCCTTTAAGGGAACCCTCAGAACCCTACCTGAAAGGTATAACTATAGAGAAAAAAAAGAGAAAAAGAGAGAAAGATAACAGAGAATTAGAAACCAAGAACAATGTCTCTGACTTCAATAAAGGTCAAAACAATATACTCCAAACTGTTCCAGACAGATAAAATAATCTGTCCAAAATTAAATGGTATTATGTATAGTCATTGTGGTGAATCTTTATACAACTTGGCATGACAGAGAGGGAACTATTTCATCTCTTAATTTGATGGCATAGTCTATCTACTTCATGAAACGTTAAAGTGAAAAAGTCTCATTAACTATTTAATTGTTCATTTATATCTATCCTGGGTTTCTGTCTGGTTTATTGTTGTTGCTGTTTGTGTTTATTTTCAAGATTTCTTCATCTGTATACTGTAATTATATGTTTTTATCAGAGTAGAGTCCTTACTAGGTTCAGCTTACTCCTTACTCTGTTTTAATTCTTTCCTCCTTTTGTGTCTCAACTGCCTTCCTCTCCTCCAGACCAAAATGGTGGACAGGAGGCAAGTACGAAGGAATCAGAAAGATACTGTGGTAAGTGTGCAGATAGAAATAGTTCCTATCTTCCCTCATTTCAAAACTAAAGATACCTTTACAATCTTGGATTTGGAATTTGGAACTACTTTATCCATCTTGTTTTCTCCTTTTCAGTGAGTTATTATCACCTCATGTGAGTGTAGAAGGATAGAGGGTGAGCAAGCTAGACCATGTTATACATGGCACCCTGGTTGTTGGTGGTGGTGGTGGGAGTGGTGGGGGGGGGGTTGTGAGAGAAAGAGAGAGAGAGAGAGAACAGATAGTGTACACAAGCAGGAGAGGGGCAGTGGAAGAGGGAGAGAGAGATTCTTAAGCAAGCTCCACGCCCAGCATGGAGCCCAACGTGGAGTTTGATTCCATGACCTCAGCCAAAATCAAGAGTCAGGAGCTTAACCAACTGAGTCACCCAGGTGATAATTGGCAACCTGGTTTTACTTTGGTGTGTAGGAACCCCAGAAGTTAAAGGTTGCTATATAAGTTTTCTGTCACTGCTATAACAAATTGCCATAAACTGGCTGGCTTAAAAAATAAAACTCATTTTCTCACAGTTTTGCCAACCAAAAGTTCAAGATCAAAGCCATGTTCCCTTAGAAGGCTCTAAGGGAAAATCCTTCCTGGCCTTCCCCAGTTTCTGGTGGCTGATGGTATTTCTTAAGTTCCAGGACTTGTGGCTGCATCAGTCCAATCTCTTCTATGTCTCATCATTGCCTCAGCTTCTACATCTTTTCTTCTGTCTGTCTCAAGTCTCCCTCTGCCTTTCTCTCATAAGAATATTTGTCATTGGACTTAGGTCCTACCCAGATAATCCAAGATGATCTCTTCATCATCAGATCCTGAACTTAACATCTGCATTGGCCCTTTTTCCAAATAATATCCACAGATTCACAAATTAGGACATAAACATATCTTTTTGGAGGCCACCATTTAAATGGTTTTACAATGTCCACATACATAGAGATAACATTCTTGTTGGCTACCAGAGCCTTGCCTCAGGGAGTCAAACACTCTCCCAAGCCAACTAGTGCCACAAATATCATCCCAAGTCTGAGTCAGAACACTAGACTAGTTAAATGTGTCCCCAAGAAAAACAAATGGCAGCCTTCTCCAATTTGAGAATTTAGACAAAGCCTGAGAAACATCAGATGAGCAATTCTTTCAGCAGAACATCGAGGCACTTTGAACACTAGGATTTAGGTACTTCATTTACATGCCACTTGTAAACTATTTTAATATGTATAGTCTATTGTTAGTGTGAAGTCTTTTGGAAAGAAATATGCTCAAAATGGTAACATTTTTCCCTCAAAACCCTTTGCTTTCATGTACATTACATTTCAAAAGAAGGTAGATATTATACTGTCTTGTACCAAATGCCCTCAAGACGTTTTTTTTTTTTTTTTTTTTGAAACTGTAATATAAAACATCTTTTTCTCTGGCTCTAATCCAATTTCTTTGAGTGATGTGTAAACCTTACAATTGTTTGTAGCTCTGTGTCAGTATCCATTACTTTTGAAATGACCCCTACATTTCACATTCTATATAACATTTTCCTGTCCTCTCTGGGAATTGCAGAAGATCCTTCGTAGACACACTAATTGCTTGTGACACCCACAGTCCTTTTGAACACGGATGTTTTCTTGGTGAACCAGTAAATACTCTGTTATTTGGAGGGGACATTGTTGCCAAACACTTTCCCCGAATCTTGCTTTCTACTTAAACATCATAATCACACACGGCTGAGTTATAGCTTCACTGCTGCCCATGCATATTGTACTCTTGGCATTACAGGAGCTTCAGAAACTGCTCAGTCTGTCAAAGTACCAGTAATGATTTCTTTTGTGGGTATATTAATCTCACAGAAACTAAGCATTACGTTTTAGACAATAAAGCTTGCAAAAGACCTGTCAAATCCATATTTTTTAAATGCTTTCTATTATATTCTTCCAAAACACACCCCACTGCATTGACCTTTAAGCACATTAACCTCTGCAGGGAAATTTCTTAAATCCATATTATATGCATAAAACCTCTAATTCAGCATTTAGTGGGGAAAATAGATTGTAGTTGGTGCTAAAATGTCAGTGAGTCATCCACATCTGACAGTAGATTTGTAGAATGACAAACAACGGCATTAAGCTTGTCTTAAAAGAAAATGTAGCGTGGCTAAAAACACTGGTAGGTCCAAGGCAAATGTTCAAAAAATAGGCACTCTCTAACATACCAAAATCCAATTTACAAAGATTCCTAAATATAAATTGGAGGTTGCAGTCTGTCACCAGCACCAAGCACCATGATCTACTCAGCATTGCTTCCCCCCAACGCAGTTGCAGTTTCTGGTTTTTCCTCCTTTTGGGCCAACAAATAAATACCCTTGTTTGCTCAATCACTTCTTAGCTTTCAACTCCTCACAATTTGGTGGATTTTAGACAGGTCTTCTTTCTTATTTTTCTTAAATCGAAATATATTTCACATACAACACTGTTTAAGTTTAAGGTGCTCAACATGTTGCTTTGCTGCATTTAGATATTATAATATGATTGTCTTTGAAGTCTTGGCTAATACCCCTATCATCACACAATTACCATTTCTTTTTTGTGTTGGGAATAATTAACATCTAATCTCTTAGCAAGTTTGATGTTTATAATACAATATCGTCTGTGATCACTGTGCTCATGCATTAGATATGCAGGACTTATTTACCTACCAGTTGTGTATTGGGCCCTCTCTCTGAGGTATCCGC